TTTTTTTCCCCATTTTTTCCCCATTTTTCCCCCCATTTTTTCCCATTTTTCCCCATTTTTCCCCCATTTTTTCCCCATTTTTTCCCCATTTTTCCCCCATTTTTTTCCCATTTTTTCACCAATTTTCCCCAATTTCCCTCTCATTTTATTCCAATTTTTTTCCCATTTTTTCCCCATTTTTCCCCATTTTTCCCCGTTTCCTCACGTGGGCTCACAGCTGGCCACGCCGTCGCCATGGTAACCGCGCTGCCAGCGCCACTGGAAGCTGCCGGGGCTGTTGTGACAGCGGCACATTCTCCCCATTCTCCCCATTCTCCCCAATTTTCCCCAATTTTACCCCATTTTTTTTCTATTTTTTCCCCATTTTTCCCCATTTTCCCCCATTTTTTTCCCATTTTTTTTCCTATTTTTTCCCATTTTTTTCCCCATTTCTCAGACAATTTTCCCCATTTTTTTAGTGTTTTTTGTCCAATTTTTTCCCCATTTTCCCCCATTTTTTCCCCATATTTTCACCAATTTTTTTCCAATTTTCCCCCATTTTTCCCCATTTTTCCCCCATTTTTTTTTCTATTTTTTTCCCCATTTTTCCCCATATTTTCACCAATTTTTTTCCAATTTTTCCTCCATTTTTCCCCATTTTTTCCCCATTTTTTCCCCATTTTTTCCCCATTTTTTTTCTATTTTTTTCCCCATTTTTCCCCATTTTTCCCCATTTTTCCCCATTTTTCCCCCATTTTTTTTCTATTTTTTCCCCCATTTTTCCCCCATTTTTCCCCATTTTTTCCCCATATTTTCTCCAATTTTTTTCCAATTTTTCCCATTTTTCCCCCATATTTTCCCCATTTTTCCCCCATTTTTCCCCATTTTTTTCCCCATTTTTTCCCCATTTTTCCCCATTTTTTCCTATTTTCTCCCATTTTTCCCCATTTTTCCCCCATTTTTTCCCCATTTTTCCCCATTTTTCCCATTTTTCCCCCATTTTTCCCCATTTTTCCCCGTTTTTCCCGTTTTCCCGGTTTCCGTCCCCGTTTCCTCACGTGGGCTCACAGCTGGCCACGCCGTCGCCATGGTAACCGCGCTGGCAGCGGCACTGGAAGCTGCCGGGGCTGTTGTGACAACGGGCGCGCGGGTGACAACGAGCCAGGCCCAGCCTGCACTCGTCCACGTCCGGACACCGGCTGTACCACCACCGCTGGTCACCCTGCTGGTCATCCTCGTCACCGTGGTCACCTTGGTCACCTTGGTGGTCACCTTGGTCACCTTGGTCAGCCTGGTGGTCAGCGTGGTCACCTTGGTCACCTTGGTGGTCATGGTGGTCATGGTGGTCATGGTTGTCATTGTGGTCATGGTGGTCACCTTGGTGGTCAGCGTGGTCACCTTGGTCACCTTGGTGCTCAGCCTGGTCAGCGTGGTCACCTTGGTCACCTTGGTGGTCATGGTGGTCATGGTGGTCATGGTCATGGTGGTCACCTTGGTGGTCACCTTTGTCACCATGGTCAGCCTGGTGGTCATGGTGGTCACCTTGGTCACCATGGTGGTCAGCGTGGTCACCTTGGTCAGCCTGGTGGTCATTGTGGTCATGGTGGTCACCATGGTGGTCAGCGTGGTCACCTTGGTCACCTTGGTGGTCAGCGTGGTCATCGTGGTCATCATGATCATGGTGGTCACCTTGGTGGTCACCGTGGTCATTGTGGTCATCATGATCATGGTGGTCACCTTGGT